GCAGGCGGAGGATTAGCCTAGTGAGCCGTGGAGCCAGCCATTTCTTAATCAAACAGGAAAACATTCACAGAAAGCAATGATCAAATGTAACCAGGAAAAGAAGTCCTGAAGTGATTCTTGATCAGATCTGAGCCCTGAGGATCTCTGCTAATAACTCTGAGGGAAATACTTTCCAAGTGGTAACTCCTTAGGTAACTCTAGTTCATGTGCTAGAAATGAAGACCAAGATAACCAATACGAGTACTTCCTGAGTATTTGTTTGGTTCTGTTCAGGTGTCAGTACATGCACTCACACCAATGTAAGAAACCTGTCTGGCCAGGCCAAATGTCTTTCAGGCCACTCACGATACAGGATATTAATTCCGAACAAGCAAGCTGCATCTGGAATGTGAAAAGGGAGAGCTGTTTCTGCCCCAAGACTAGACATTTTGTCAAGACCAAGATAAGTTAACAGAAACAGAAGAAAATTCTACAGACAGGAGAGAGTAGCTGTAAACAGCAGCAGGGGGGCATGGAATAAGCAGTTCAGATTTTCTTTGCACAAAACAAAGCTCACTATTGAACAAATCATGCCTATGCCTGGGTCAGTGGACTCCCAAGTGGTTATGGGAGGCACAAAGTGAACCAATGAATTAAGAAGGAAAAAACAGAAACTTTCAAGTTTAAGAGCATAGTATTGTTAATTACATGGATTACCAGTTAACTGTGTTATAGAAGCAAACTGTCAAGCTAGGCTACTTGAGTTGTGTTCTGCTTCTGCACTTAAACATCACTTGGGTAAGCTGCTTAACCTTTCTGTGCCTCTATTTCTTCACCTATGGAACTGAAATGTAGGGATTTAAAAGCTAAATAACTTAATATTCGTAAAGCACTTTAGACAGTGCCTGGTGCAAAGTTAATCACTATGTAAATATCCCACTAAGTGGGATTAAGGTCATAGTCATTTGGCAACATCCATTACACATTTGCTGTAACTTGCTATTTACATAATATCCTAAGATCCTGAGATATATTTGGGAAAAAACATATAAAACATACTAGTTCATTTTTAAAAGAAACTAATAAGCAATCCAGTATGAGTCCACAGCTCACACTAGTCAGGCTGGTCCCTGAGTGATGCCAACTGGCAAAAAGACAAGCTTTACTGGTCAGAGCCTTCAAGTTAAATAGAAAAGGAAAAGAAGAGAACTCAAGTCAGTCACAAATTTATATACAGGCTGAGTCTCTTTTATCTGAAATGTTTGGGACTAGAAATGTTTAGCATTTCAGATTTTGAAATATTTGCAGATATATACTTAGACACCTTGTGGATTTTGCCCAAATCTAAATATAAAATTCATTTATGTTGCACATATGACTTATGCACATAGTCTGAAGGTGATTTTATACAATATTTTTAGTGTGCCTGCATCAAATCACATGAGGTCAGACGTGGAATTCTCCACTGGTGCTGTCATGTTGGCACTTTCAGACTTTGGAGCCATTTGGATTTCTGCATTAGGGATGTTTAACCTGTGCTGAAAAACAAAGAAAGCCACTGAGCTTCTTATGATAAGCATAAACTTAGTTTCTCCGAGCCTGAGTCACATCACTCTGCCACACTGAGATTCTGTGGTCTCCAGGCAAGTTTGGCTTCTCTGCTCACAGCTCCTGGCCCTGCTGGTTGGCTGGGTCTGGCTGCTGCTGCACAGCGCAGGCCCACAGGAAGCCCCTGACAACCCTCAGCCTGAACACAGAGAACCACTCCCCATCCTGCTCCTTTCCTGTACCTCCTCCTGCTGCTCCAAGGAGCTGCTGTGGGAAAACCCCTGTCTTTAGACTCTGTAAGGAAGGAAGCACCTGTGGAAAGCCCAGCAGCTTGGAGAACCAACAAGGCGTCCTCCTGCCCCTCAAACATCTTTAATCGAATGCTCCAAATTTCTAGACTTCCTTTGGTTCATTTCCATTAAATTTGGTCAGAATTTTTTTTCCCAGAGCAAGTACCTTCTTCTGAAAAGGCAAGAATATTTAATTTTTTTAAATTTATTTGTGAAAAAGAGAAATTTTCCAATCACTAGTTCACTCTCCAAATGCCTACAACAGTCAGGGCTGAGGAACTCAATCTGAGTTTCCCACATCAGTGGCAAGAACTCAACTACTTGAGCTGTCACCTGCTTCCTCTCAGGTGCACGTTAGCAGGAAGCTGGAATGGGAAAGGTGTAGGGGCTGGAGCCCAGGCACTTTGATAAGAGATGCTAGCATCCCAAGCAGCGTCTTACTGCTACATCAAACACTCCTCTCAATCTTGGACGACTAAATTAATTCAACCTAATTGTTTTCCTTCTAACCCCTAGCTGACAGTAGCCAGACTTAAGTTTTTTACTTTCTTAAACAAGTAGTGAGTACCTATTAATATGCCAGGCATACGAGATGGGCCAAATAAAGACCATGAAAAGCTTTGAGGCAGCATAAATAGGGTTTTGCCACCAAATAACCTTTCCCAGTCTTGCAGGGGTGGGGCCTCCATGGGAGGGAAGTGATGGGAGGGGGAGAAATACATTAAACAAGAAACAAGAGATAAATGCCACTAACAGGTACTAAAGGATGCTGCACCAGGTTACGGCAAGGGAAGTTAACCAGCCTCATGTCAAGGAAGAGCAATTCAAGTGGAGACCTGGAAGTTGGGTTAATATTACGCAAGCAGGAGCTGGTGTCCCGGGCCCCAGACCAGAGCTGGAGATTGCAGAGAGGTAGGCCAGCCTGACCATGGCAGGCCGGCAGAGTCTCACCCTCATGCCAAGAGAAGGTTTTAAGCAGGGGATAACCTCAGCAAACCTGCAGTTTAGACAATGCCTCTGGCTGTGTGGAAAGAACCAAGTGGACAGGCAGGAACTGTTCAGGAATGTGGTCTAAGAGCCCAGCTAAGGGATGATGGAGGCTGAATCCAAATGTCGTCAGTGGAATTAGGGAGGGGTGGAGAAAGGCACAGAGGAGGCTGGGAGGTGGGAAGACTCCTGGATTCTGGTTTGAACTATGAGATCATTGCTGGAGTCCTACCCTGAGAAGGTTTAGGGGCTATGAGGAGTTCCATTCTGGACACACTGCTTTTGAGGTGCCCGGGAGACATGTAGGTGATGCCAGCTATTGAACAGGGCTTGGAGGCAGGGGAAGATAAGGGCAGATGCCCATCTGGCGTCATCAGCATGAAGACAGTCGCCAACCAGAGGTGTGTGAAGAGTTAAGAGAGCAGACAACCAACACCTAAGGGATGCGATGTGGTGGTGGAACTGACAGGCAAAGGAGCAGCCACGGAGCTGGGAGGTTAGCTCCGAGTCAAGCTCAGTGAAGACAGAACCTGCAAAGTGTCTCTGGATTTCTGGGACCTGAGACTGGTTCACTGGCTGCTTTAGTGAGAGTATTTTCAGGGTGGAATCCAGTTTTCAGTAGACTGAAAGTGAATGTGGTGCAAGGAAAAGAACTCCAAAGTGTGGGCAACTTTTTCAAGCCACCGGGCTACACAAGGAAGAAGAGAGCAACAGAGTAACATCTGGGTGAGAAGTGGGGCTGCTTCTAGACAGGAGAATTTCAAAGCTAATGAGAATCAGCTGGTAAGAAAGGAACAGTTAAAGAGAAGAGTTGAGAAGGCTTACAGTGATGAACAGCTTCCTGAAATGAGCAGAGGGGCTTGAGTTCCATAGTGCAGGGGACAGGTGACTGTGTATTAGAGGATGAGCACAGCTCCCTTGTCACAGGAAAGGAGCGGGAGAGGGTGGTCTGATGCCTGGAAGCTTAAGGATCGTTTCATGGGAGAGTGGGACATTCTTACCTAATCGCTTCCAGCTGCTCCCTGTGGCAGAAGGCAAAGTCAACTCTGAGAGCTAAGTAGATGGCAGGCAATGAAGCTGGAGGAGACAGGAGGCAAGCAGTGTGGTGAAGAGGAGCATGAGCTGGCCAGGGTGACACACTGGGAAGCACAGCTGCCCAGCTGAGAGTTGAAACATGATCTGTTCATCGTGGTACCAGTCTGCCTGGGTGTGACCTTCCTGTGCAGACTCAGCAGCTTGGCACATGGCTGGATCCATGCAGAGCTGGAGTGTGGCCTGGCAGGTGCAGTGAAAGGACAGGATGGCAAAGGGTGTGGGTAGGATGTGGGTAGGGAGTCATAGAATCTAGGCTGGACAGAATGGTGAATGTAGGCAGGGAAATGAACAGTGGAGGGACAGAGTTGAAAGAAAGGGGCCTTTAGAGAGAGGAAGTAGGTAAATTTGGAGCAGGGAACGCTTGGGGTTACAGGCAACATAGAGGTTTGGGCAGTCAAGAGGCTCTGAGCTTTGTGAGGACCAGAATAACAGGTAGTGATCCAGACAATCTGCCAAGTTACAGGGCTTGCTGAGAGCAGGCTCACACCGAGAAGGGAAGGAAATGTGACAAGCTGCATGGGGAACAGACAGAATCATCACACCCACTTTGTGATCAGGCAGGGCATGACACAAATTCAGAGTCTGAAAACATTCGAAATCCTGCTTTGCTTTCCTCAGTAAAGAAGCTTCATTCCAGTAATGAACAACTTAAGAGAAAATAGACATGCTCAGCTCAGCTAAGGACAGGTAGAAGTTACTAAATACAATTTGAGATTGAGCTTTAAATTCTAATCATCTGTCATGGACTTATCATATGATGTCCTAATATGATTTTTAAATATAACAAATGTAATAACTAACATTTGTGGAATACTTCCTATATGCCAGGGACCATGCTAAGAACGTGATGTTTATTTCATTCCATCTCTGAGGGAGCTTCTTTCATTATTCCCATTGTTCTGATGGGGAAACTGAGATCTAAAGAGATTAAGTAAGTGGGTTTGTTTCTCAGTACTCTTAATTTTTCAGATAAGGACAATAGGCCAATTGGTACATTATGAGGAAATGACCACAAAAATGATGAAAAAGTTTATCTAGATTCTAAAAGAATTCTGAGTACATGAAGACACCAATTTGATTTTTAAAAATCTCAATACCAACCTATATTTCTCTGAATTAACATGCACGCCTTCTCCTTTGCAGAAAGATGGCTTTTTCTCGAAGTGCCGAAGTCAAAGCAGTATTTATTCTTCCCCATGTCAAACAAAGTGCAGTTAAATACGGTTCTTCTCTCTCCCAGAGGCAGGCTGTTCTCAGCCAGCTGCATGGATCTCTCCCCAGGGCGCCGGGGAGCCTCCTTGAAAACAGCGATCCCCCCTTGGACAAAGACGCAGGGCGGGGGCAGCACCATCACCTCCACTACAGACTCGCATGTGAGTTCTGGCACCACCACTAGTTTATATCCAAACTTCTGGGTCAGGTCAATGGGCCCCGTGGAGGTAATGACCGAATCTCGGCCAAGCAGTTTGAGCACCACGGTGACATAAGCTTCTGGTCCCACCGGCGCACAGCCAAACTCAACCCACTGTCCCTGAGCGAGCTCTGTCCTTTTGCTGGTTCTTATCTCCAGCGGTTGTCCTGGATTCGTTCTTGTCTCAGGAAGACCATTGGTGAAGATGACGTCCACCGCGATACCAGGCTTATCCACAGGAAACAGGCACAGCGGTTCATTGGTAAAAAGGCCTACCTGGAAGGTGCTTGCTGCTGCTGTGGATGTCCTGTTCAAGTCGATGTGAAAGACAGGCCACTCCAGCTTCAGAGAGGTGCCTTTTTCCCACCAGGGGAAGGGAGTGCTGTTGTCTGTCGCTTCTGGAGCCATCACAAACCAGTAGTCCCCAGCTTCCTTGAAGTAGAAGCACTCAAACTCCAGCGTTCCCTGGGACTGGTTGGTCAGGAGGTACTTGGTGGTAACAGTCTGATTGGTGTTGGCTTCTAAAAGCAGGACAGATACATTCCTTAGTGTCCCGTTAGCCCCGTCAAGATACTGGAAATCCACAGACACGGTGTTGTTGCTCAGCGCTACATGGCCTGGCTCTCTCAAGAAGAGATACTCAGCTTCTCCAAGAACTGAAATGAAATGGTCAGAATTGGGTTTTACTGTTGAAATCTTTACTTAAAATATGCTAAACTGATCTTCTGTATATAAAGAGAATTGAAAATGAATCTTGGCCGCCACCGCGGCTCACTAGGCTAATTCTCCACCTAGCGGCGCCGGCACACCGGGTTCTAGTCCCAGTCGGGGCGCCAGATTCTTTCCCAGTTGCCCCTCTTACAGGCCAGCTCTCTGCTGTGGCCAGGGAAGGCAGTGGAGAATGGCCCAAGGGCTTGGGCCCTGCACCCGCAAGGGAGACCAGGAGAAGCACCTGGCTCCTGCCATCGGATCAGCGCGGTGCGCCGGCTGCAGCGTGCCAGCCGTGGCGGCCATTGGAGGGTGAACCAATGGCAAAAGGAAGACTTTTCTCTCTGTCTCTCTCTCTCACTATCCACTCTGCTTGTCAAAAAAAAAAAAAAAAAAAAAAAAAAAAAAAAAAGAAAGAAAGAAAGGAAAGGAAAGGAAAGGAAAGGAAAAAGAAAAAGAATCTTGATGTGAATGGAAGGGGAGAGGGAATGGGAAAGGGAAGGGTTGCGGGTGGGAGGGAAGTTATGGGGGGGAGGAAGCCATTGTAATCCATAAGCTGTACTTTGGAAATTTATATTCATTAAATAAAAGTTAAAAAAAAAAGAATTGGTGTTTAAAGTTGCATTTGAAGAGCACTATCTGTGACCTCAATTGAAATGGCATTTCTGACGTGAGAAGTTGCAACTGAGACAAGGATGACGGAACGTGATGTACAGGGCCTGGGAGCTGGACATTGCACTCTTTCCTTTGTAAGTGGCTCTGTTCCCTCACCATCATTCATAATTATGTTTGAAATAATTAATTAGTGATAGGCACTGAGAATTCATCGCATTCAACAATGTAATATATCTGTAATGAAAATCTACAAAGCTAGAACAACTGATAATTTTCAGGGTAAAAATCCAGTAACCGTTAGAATGGCTCACATACAGAAATCTACCAACAACAGATGCTGGCGAGGATGTGGGGAAAAAGGGACACTAACCCACTGTTGGTGGGAATGCAAACTGGTCAAGCCACTATGGAAATCAGTCTGGAGATTCCTCAGAAACCTGAATATAACCCTACCGTTCGACCCAGCCATCCCACTCCTTGGAATTTACCCAAAGGAGTTTAAATTGATAAACAAAAAAGCGGTCTGCACCCTAATGTTTATTGCAGCTCAATTCACAATAGCCAAGACCTGGAACCAACCTAAATGCCCATCAACGGTAGACTGGATAAAGAAATTATGGGATATGTATTCTTTAGAGTACTATACAGCAGTAAGAAACAACGAAATCCAGTCATTTGCAACAAAATGGAGGAATCTGGAACACATCATGCTGAGTGAAGTAAGCCAGTCCCAAAGGGACAAATACCATATGTTCTCCCTGATCGGTGACAACTGACTGAACACCAAAGGGGAAACCTCCTGAAGTGAAGTGGACACTATGAGAAATGGTGACTTGATCAGCATAGCCCTGACTGCTGATTGTGGGGAGCAATCCGGACTAGACTAAGTTACTCGAATTAAGACTTATTCTATGCATCTGCTCTCCCACAATATGGCGCTGGGAGAGAAGTAAACAGCTTCCGCACAGCTGCCTCCAGTTCAACTAATAAATTGTAGGACTTGCTCCTGATTGGAGAGCAGCGTACTCGGCGTGTGGGCAGCCGAGTTAGGATTGGCGGAGGAGGACTATAAAGGAGGAGAGAGACGGCATGCACCGGGAACATCTATGGGGAACATCTAAGGGGAACGCCTGTGCAGCCCCCCAGAGAGCCGGCCGGCGGAGTGCCGCTCCCCTGCGGAAGTGGGGAATGTGGCCAGGGGGAACTGCCCTTCCACGGAGGTGGAAGGGATAGTAGCCAACCCGGGAAGAACCAGCAGCAAACCCGGGGAGGGCCGAGCAGACGAAAGAACAGCGCAGGGCTTAGTGTTGCTCCTCCACGAAGAGGGGGAGCGACACTGATGGACAACTTAATACATTATCCCTCATAGTATTTTTTTTTCTTTGTCTGTTCTACTTGATATGACTGGTTTAATTCTGTAATTATCATACAGTTATTCTTGAGTGTTGAAAATTAACTGAAATGTGATCCCTGTTGAACGTAAGAGTGGGAATAAGAGAGGGAAGAGATGTGTAATTTGGGGCATGCTCGGGCTGACTTGCCCCAATTGGTAGAGTTGGAAACATACCAGGGGATTCCAATTCAATCCCATCAAGGTGGCATGTGCCAATGCCATCTCGCTATTCCAGGTGATCAATTTCAGTTCACAATTGATCATAATGAAAGGACTGAG